GACAAGGGCCGGCCTCATGGAGTTGTGAGGTTCATCCGCGCTCCCCAAAGAGGTGGCCTGTTGGGCGCTAGCGAGCAAAGAGCAAGTTGGACCATTGGGGGGGGGAGGAGCGTTTTGACTCGGAGATCAACATGAGCCACAATGAAAACTCCGGATAGATGAAGGTTAGTAAGGGGCAATCCCGAATCCCAACCAGAAATAGTCGCGGATATCCGCCTTCTGAATTCTTGACAAGGTTCTGGGTCGACCTTTTTCATACCGGGGTTTGATGACTCACGCGAAGCTGGCCCAGGCGAGAATTTAGTCTAACGCATCCCGGTTTGAGGCTGTGCCAACAAGCGAGTGGGCGAACTGGGTCGTTTGCAGCCAACCTACGGCAACGGAAAATGAGGGTTGGGGACTGGAAATGCACGCTTTGCGTATGTTCAATCATCTTCGTTTGTAATTCTATGTGTATTGTTTGCTTTGGCTTTGTCTATGCAGTATGTTTAATTACGCTGAAGTGAGCTTTTGATATCCAATCACTTTAGTTTATAGAATGTTTTTGTTTGAAACAAACAAACAAACAAAAAACAACAACACATATTATGTGTTTTTGGTATGTGATTGTCATCTGTCACTGTATGTTGTTTGCTCATGCCGAAGTACTCAGATCCCTTTTGGCTACATATTTCCCCTTCAAAATTCTAGAGGCTTAGAATATGATCATAGCTTATGTTAATTGATGTGAATTGTGATTCTCGGCGGCAAGCACATTTGAGTGTTCTTAGCCGCTGCCAATTCCCGGTGTGAAACAAACACATATTAAGCGAGAGAGTCAACTTGCAATTGTCAGATGTTGGCCTCGGTACTTTAGTTTTGGTATGTTGATATTTGTGAATGCGAGTGTTTTTTGAATGTAATTATCAGGAGCCAGTGTGTAAGCTAAATTTAGGCAAGCGCATATTCCAATTCGCCGTGAATACCTGTGAATTGGCCTAGGATGCAGATCCTAGAATGGCTTAGATTTCATGAATTGACAACCTTTACAATATGATTCTTTGTGTGAAGCCTCTTTGTGCAAATTGTAGGCTACATATATATATATATATGGTCAGGCCCCCCCATTAACTACCTTTCCTTCATATATATATATATACAAATATGCAACCCCTTGGATGGATGTTATGTTTTCCACATTTTACTTTTGGGTCTTTGGCTCCAGTATTGTACTTTTCTACTTTCTTACTTTTGGGTCTCTGGCTCCATAAGTTTACTTCTTTTCGTTTTCACTTTTGGGCCAATGGCTCCAGAATTTTACTTTTCTACTTTTTTTACTTTTGGGTCTTTGGCTCCATTTTGTTTTTCTACTTTCTTACTTTTGGCTTCTGGGTCCAAAATTTTACATATTTTCGCTTTCACTTTTGGGCCAACGTCTCTGTCAACTTGCGTAATTAATTGGGCCTGGGGGGGGGGGGGTCAGCGATTAAGCTTTGAGATGGTGACGCAGCATGTGGAAACCGCAGCCCTGGAACTTGAGGCATTTGGGTGGTTGCCTAATTGATTTGACGGTTGGCGTGTTTGGGGTTTAGGGGCAGTAAAGGGGGTGTCAGGAGTGTGACGGGTGTTTGAAGATGGGATGTGTGGGCCATTTGTCAGATAGAGTTCCAACTGATCAGGAAAATTCAGGCTTGTGTTGGGAATCGGCTCTGGGGTGAGTTTGCATCAGGTAGGACATGTGTTCCATTGTTTTTACCCTGCACAAAAACGGCTTTTGACAAGGGCATCTCCAGCCAATTGTGTGCCAGATTTCATGCCGGTGGGGCCGGTGGGGTCCAGCTTGTGTGAAACTTAAGAATTGCAACTTATCAGTATCACGCTGTGGGAAAGATTGGAAGGTGATGACATGATGATGGCCCTCAAAAATGGGTTGTTTTCTTAGCTGATTTGCATACATAGGTTTGGGGGGCATGTCGCAAACTCATGGACCACAGCCACTTTGGCTTCAAGCGGCGTTGTTTGGAGGCAAGAGCTGACGTGCCGGCAGATCCTTACGCAAAAAACAGAATGCGAGCGAGCAAAATGGATTGCCCCGGCCCCCAATGGGCCCCCAATTCCAAGTTTCTTGGCAACAACGCAGCAGCAGTGCAACAGCAGACATGTTTTTCCTTGCATCGTAACGTCAGCTCATGTCGCTTCCAAGCACGCTCGCTCAGATTCACACAACAAAGCCAGCTTCCAGACTGCCTTGGACTCCGGAAGCTTTCTACTGGCGCAGCATGGCTGCAGCAGGGACCATGACCATGAGGTGACATTGTTTTTGTGCCGGTGCGGTGCGTCTGCGTGTTGCTGAGAGAGACTGAGACTGCTGACACTGAGGCCTCTGGCAATCTCCAGCCCGCGTCGAAAGGGCATGTGGGGGCTCCGTCGTATTCTCTGGAGCAACTATTCCAATATATGCAGGTGTGCCTCGTCTCAATGACACATCGCTATCCAAGTCACTTTTTCCCGTGCATCTTAGGACCTCTACCTAGCAGTGCTAGCAGTGTGTAGCAGTTCACTTCTGAACTGTTTGTCTATCACTGTCACTGTCTATCTCCTTCATTTTTCTGTTGCTCATTTCCCTTATAGCTTTCTTCTCTCATTGCGGCAATCAGGAGATCAGGAGTCCACAAGCAGCAGCAGGAGCATCCTGTTTTTAATTGTGTTTTCAATTATACAGTTACAGTTTGCTTGCTTATTTCTACCACTGCGACGGCGCCGCTGGCTGGGTTGTTTGATGTCACTGATTAGGGATGTTGCTCAATCCCGTTTACGGTACTACGTGTCAGGCATCAGGCATCCTGTTTGCCACCCGTCATTGCCTAGTGCCCTGGCACACCTTGAGCAGGGCAAAGGCCAAACTTGATATAGCCTTGATGCTCTTGAAAGGGAAAGCTGGAGAGAGCGGTTTTCGCGCGACCCGGGCCGTTTGTCGCGGCATTTTGTATTCTTATTTTATGACTCTTCGCCCGTCAAGAAAGACATCTTTCTCATACAGGAAGTGTCTGTGTTGCAGCTAGGCAGCAGTTTTTGGTGCAGGCTTGTCCTGCCAGGGTTGATTGAGGTGGGCCCTTTGCCCCATGAAATACCCCACCCGGGCCGGGCCCCCTGCCGCTGCCTGCTTCCCGCTGCCCGCTGCTCCATTGTCTCAGCCCAGGCAACTGCGACGACCGACCCAATGGCGGCTCTTGTTGAGGACTGAATTAGACTGAGTTGCCCAAAATTTCCAAGTTCAGCCTTGTTTGGCCCAGCCCCAATATTCCAAGACGTGAGAGGAAGACCTGCTTGAGCTGGCCAGCGAGGATGGGGCGCGGTCACACAACCGCGGCCGACAAGTTGGCTGCGCTCCTGCACGCTGTTGGCTTGGAGGTCGCTCTAGAAGATCGCCTTCGATACTTCCAATCGGTGGTCTCGACGACGAGCGACCAAGGACAGTTTGCATTGCTATCATTGATAGAGTGGTATCACTGTGTCACCTACACAGGCACGATTGTGCTGCGGTATAAGTTACACACGGGGCGAACTCGAACCTACACGGCAGCCACAGCAACACACAGACCACACACACAAAGAGACACGCGCGCCGCGCACCACCTTGCACACACACACACACACGCACACACACACAGACACACAGACACACAGACAAACTGACACACAGACACAGACACACACACACACTACATGTTACAAAAATGCAGTGTGTATTGTGTATATTTACAGTTCACATTCACACCCGGTCACCGCTCACCCAGTGCCCAGATACATACACACATACACACACATACCCACACAGCTACCTACCTGCTGCCTACCTACCTACCTATCTATCTACCTACTACCCAGGGTACTACCCACCCACCCACCCACCCACCTACCTACCTACCTACCTACCTACCTACACATACATACATACATAGATACATACATACATACACACACATACGTACATCCATACATACATACATACATCCATACATACATACACGTACATACATACATGCATGCATGTCATGCATGTATGCATACATACAGACATCCGTACAAACATACATACATCGCCCGGTGCAGTGCAGTGTGCCCAGTTCTTTTTCCGTCCATTCTGTGTTTCAGCCCAGTTTGTCTATTCGCGAGGAACGGCGTTCGCTTTGGGCGACAGCCCCGCTGTGCAGCTCGACCAATGGATTGCGCACGAAGCGGCTGTGCTGGGCAGTGAGGCTATCGTGCTACGCGGAGGTTCTGCCAGGTGCGACATTGTGACTCGGACTCATATCACTCGCATCGAACGTCGGATGAGGATGCGTTCTATTTCAGAAGACGTGCTTAGTAAGTACATGATTGATTTCTTTCGTCCGCTGGGTTGGGTCCGCTTGGCGGCCGGCGTTCCGAGGATGCCGAATAGCATCAAAGTGGCAGGCTTGAAGCACGTCAGCGATAACCTGCTGAAGTCGTGCTTGGAAAGGCTCAGCTTGCCCCCATGCTTGATTCAGGTGAGGGGATCTTTGGTATCGGGTTTTTGCAACAATTGCAGGTCAATTCACTTGTGCAACAGTTTGCATTGCACATGTCCATTTTAGCGCCAGCAGGTCAACAGCAGGTCTCCCAGTTTGCCTTTTGTTGATCACTGAGTCACTGAGTTGGGGCGACTTCAACCGACAGATTCACGAAGTTGAGCGCTTGGTCGGGCGTGTAATGCCGCGGGAAGCTTTTATCTCGCACTGCATCCCTGAACGTGACAAGGACGTTTGAGTTTTGAGTGAGCAGTCAGCAGCGTCGCGTGCGAAGACCTAATTTTGTTTCATTGCGAAGCGCACGCCGCCATTCACGCATGATTGTCGGCCACCATGGAGACTCATGGAGTAATGGGAAGTTTCTTTTCGGCCCACCGGACCGGACCATTGGTTCATGGCGAGGAGGCGCGGTCATCTTTTCGATCGTGGAGCATCTCGCTGAAGTCGCTCCGGTGGGAACGGCTGGTT